GAGTGGAAAAAGCTTTTTGGATTAATAACGTGTTAAATTGACAAAAATAAATGTGGCGTCAGTCTTTCAACTTAACAGAAATTTATTTAGTTTCAAGTAATAAAGCTAAACAACTACATTAGCACTCGATGCTGTGACTGGATCGCTCCACAATTATGTGGCGTTGGAACTCTATACAAATGGTAAATGAATTAAATGAACGGATATTACTAAAGAAAATTTTCATTTTGTTTTGCATTTTCTGGAACTTCTTTTCAAACAGCGGAGATCACAAAAGACATCTTTCTCTAAATAGACTTTGAAATTAAATCCTGTGTTTTAAAAGCGCATTTGCGGAATGGGAATATTGCAAATAAGACAGTGTTCAAGGTGGCTAAATTTCTTCCGGACAAAAGAAACCAGTTATCAGAAAGCAGGATAAAGGTCACACCCTAACCAAAAGAGGTCTTACCATAATAAAGAATTCGAATCGTACTGTTATCTAGGGTTTACCTTATCTTTTATTTCAGTTTCCTTTTGTTCTTTTATAGCATGGAAAAATGTATCATATTGTTCGACATTGGTGTGAAGAAACGCTTGTTTTCTTTCTTTCTTTCTCACGCTGGAGGCAGCGTAATCGTTTAAACTTAATCCTTAAACGGAAAAGTTCTTTTATAAATGAAATCCTGGATGTTCTGTGGTAAACGAGAACATCAGATTTAGAATGGATTAAGATACTTTCTTAGTCGAAACCTTGCGACTGAGAAAAACGAAAGTTGTTTTTTTAATATTCAAAAATAATCATAGCGCTGAGAGTTATGCGCAAAATGTCAAGCTAGGATACCGTTATCGTTGTAACAATTGTTACAAGGCACGCAGAACACTTTGAACTTTCGCGTAGATCGTACATAACAATGTGATCAAGTAAGAAGATATTTTTCAGTCTTTTCTTACAAAGGCTTTTTCTGTCTTAGAGAGCATCGCTTTCAGACATGCCTCCAAAATAGAAGTGACAGAACCGGAACTCGTTTAAAACCTCCTTGAAGGCAGTACGGTAATTTGCGCTTCCCAAGGCATAAGTTATAGGGTTTAAACTGCAACTACAATAAACCAGAAAATACGAGATCTTATAAAACGCGCTGGTCTGCGCAATGTTTGTAGCTGTGGCGATCGAGTATGGAAAAAAGCAAAACACGAACGCGATTGTGACAATTAGCAACATCTTGACGATTTTTCGCTTGACGATTGCATCGTTTTCTCCACCGGCGTTCGCGTTAGACGAACAAATCGTGTTGGTGAAATACAGACCTTTGATTATGCTGAAATAACACACAAACATCGTAACAAACGCTGTTATTACTATCACAGCGAGTATGATCCAGTAGGCGCTGGCTTTCGCAGGCCACAGGGTAACACATCCCTTTGTTTCCTCGTCGTACGTCTCGAAAACGAACAGCGGACAAACGTAAACAACGGCGAAAACCCAAATGCACACAATGGCGTAAAGGACGTTTCCTTTGCTGAGCCGAAAACGCGTTTCCATTGGAGTCACGAGTGCCTTGTACCGCTCTACAGAGATTAAGGTTAACGTCAATCCAGATACGATCATACCAATGCCAGCGATGCTATGCGTTGTAATGAATTTGCAAAGGAAAGTTCCTAGCTGCCCGCTCGGCTGTGCGGTGTAGGAGAGAATCGTCCCGGGTAAACACCAGAGAAGAGTCAACAGGTCCGCAATGGCGAGATTGACTAGCAAGAAATTCATGGTTGTATGCATAGAGCGCTTTTTTCGGACCACTTCTATGACCAGTGAGTTGCCGCAGATTCCAATTAAGACCACAATGGTGTAGGCTGTGATCAGAAAAATCTCGTCCGTGGACGCGTGCATATTGGAACGTTTTGTTTAGAGTAACTAACAGTAAGATCCGGTCGACTTTCCTAGTTGGTTCAGTGAAGTTCCAAATTGTAATTTTCACAGCGCTAGTATAGCTTTGTTGTCTTCATTGGCCATTGCAGTATTTTCTAATGTCGATTCCTTTCCTAATAAAACGTGTCTGTTCCCCCTCCGGCTGCTCGTGACAAGTTGCGAAGAGTTTCTCGTATTTAAATTTTGAAATCAAGCGAGAACAGCAGTTGTCCTTGGGGTTCTGCCAATTATTTTTATCAATTTCTCATTCTATCTTCCTCTGTCTCAGTGAAATCCGGCTAGTAGTAGCTTAGGCGTCAAGTATTTTAACGCTTCTCTCCGTGGGGAAGTCGAAATCTTTGCTCTGTGTGGAGTGGTCTAGCAAAAGTGACAACATCAAAGTTTGTTCACTGTAACAAAAAACCAATAAGAGGCATTAACTATGTTGAATGAAAATCTCTTAGTAACTGGATCAATGATATGTCAGTGCGAAGCATTTAAAACGAGATGTTTTGGCGGCGAAAGTGTTTTGTGTTTAGTTTTTACGCGAAGGAAGCATTTAACGCTTAATGTTTGGATTTTCAACAGCTGTTTTACAACTCAGTTGTCTTACTTTACTCTGCTTTCGAAAATCTGGGAAATAATAATAATAGAAAAAACGCTCTGTGTCAGGGAATAAATTTCTTAGATTTTGCCCAAGGCCAAAAGCATTATCTCCTTCTTAGTTCGGAATAATATTGTTTTCTGCTACTGAAATACAAAGATAGTTTACAAACAGAAGTGTAGATTACGAAAACAAAGGTGTAATTAAAAACTCGGTGAAGTTCACATTTCTGTCAAGTGATTTATAGAGCTGTCTTTAAAAGCTGAAAACCTATTGGTCAGCTCTTGAAGGTTCCACTGATTATAGAAGTGTTCAGCTTAACCTCCCGTGAGCAATTTATTTTTCTTTCAGAACTCTTTTGTAATAGTCTGATGTATACAAATTCAAATGTATTTGCTTATCAATGGAAAACACTTTGAAAGAGTAGAAGACGAGTATAGAGCGAAAAACAGATGCACAAAACTCGAGTTGCATTAAATATAATTATGTGAAATTTAATCGTAGATACCCGTCGCTAAAGGCGTCAAGTAGGCAAGTAACTAGAAGAAACTCTGAAAGAAAGAAAAAATAAGGTGCATGTAACTCCTAGGCACCTTTAGAAGTGGACTGCCGAAAGGATTTCTCTCAAGGAAATAGGATGTGATCTGAAATCAGATATTGTCATTTCCTCTCCTTTGTTCTGTAAATAGCAGCTCTCTTCGAGGGACTGTAAATGGTGGAGAGAATTGTCTTCTTTAATCGATACACAAATATATAACGGTGAAGAAGCTGCGTTGCGAGTTGACGCATGCTGTAAAACATACATCCTAAGTTGTGCTTAATCTCCCCGCTTTTTAACCATCATTGTTTCAGGTTGATTTACTGTTTTAACGTTTAAGTTTCTTTCGATCTGGGATTTTACGAACCGTAAATTATGACTTAATATGTCTTGACAACTCCAGGGATGGCCTTCCTACCCAGTGCGGAAGATAATTTCACCAACGCTGTTGATTTCTAGTTTGCGGCTAAGTGACAGGTTGTAAAGCATATGATTAGAGCTGACTTACCTTTGAATCTTACAGGAGGAATTCGTCGCTTTTTTTCGGGCACGTTTCTATGATATAATTCCGTCAGCAAATGGGATCTGCAATTCACATCAACTGGGCGATAAATTAGCATAAGAATACCATGTTTGCATATCGCTTCGACGTTTGTCAATATGGTTGATTTTTCACATTTTAAGCCTAAGGGTGAAAAACGCTTTTTTTTTCGTTCAGAAGGAAGGTGTCGACAATAAATATAAAGTATAAGCTTGAACATTTGAACCTGTAAATTCTCCAAAGAGGCAATGGTAAAGTTGTGTGGAAATTATGAAGGAGAGTTCACGTGTCGATTATGGAAACAAGATGATAAGAGTATACTGCGCTATTCGGATTGGAATTGTCGATGAGAAGACATTTAATTTTGATCTGTTTCTTTACGATTAATGAAAATTATTTCAACATTGTCCGGTCAGTTAGCAAAATTGCGCCATCAACCCAGACGTTTCCAGTATTTTATTTATGCAGCTTTTGTCTTCTTTATTGAAAATCTCTGATTTTCCGTCACTTAGTGAGTGGGGATTTTCTAGTTTTGTAGATTGTTTAAGAATTGAAAGCGCTTCTAATTGTTTTAACTTCTCACTTTTATAAAGAAAAAGATATTCCGCGTAAGAAACTTTCCTTAATTGAGGGCCTTCCGGCTTTATTCAATATATATTTATATTTTAATCGCCATACAATTAAAATTAAAATTTCGTAGGGTTAAAGAGTTTGGGTGTCTTTCAATCAGCTTTAGGTTCCCTGATTTAAAATCTCTGATTTTTTTTCGTGGCGTACTGAGTGAGTTTCTAGGTTTTGAGATTCTTCACGTTATAGAGGTTCCATATCTTATCTGCCCGTCGTACAAATAGGGAATTGTCTTTGAAAGAAGCTCAAATCACCTTTGTTATTTATCGGCTTATATTCAGTTGTTTAATTTCACTTCCACATTTGTGTGTTAATTACAGTATCCAGCTTAAAAATTGAACTTTGTTGAGAATAAAACGTTTAGTCGTCTTTCTCTCTCGAGACAGATACTATTCTGAACAGATCTAGTCAGCTCTAAGGAATACAACTGCTGGTTCACCTTAGTGCTGAACCTGCGTGATTTCGCTTTTCAAGTCTTGTGTCAGCGCTGTGGGGGTTTTTTCTTTTGTCGGAGAATAGAAACTAAGCCCAACTGCTTGTGAATAAACAAGAATATTGGCGTCCTGGTTGTGTGTCTGCTGAGACAGAAAGTTGTTTGACGCTACATTAGGTAAAGAAAATAATTATTTTTCCCTTGATTGCACTGTTACAGAAACATTCGAGAAGGTTTGTAAGAATCTCCATAAGGTGTGGAAACCCATAGCTTTTCTCGTTCTCCTAAACGCGCACTTCATTGTGTTGTCATTGTCTTCTAAAAAAAAGAAAGCAATGTTTTTCGGGGACGACCGTGAGCAAACTTTAAAAGCGAAAAATAGAGGCTGATCAAACAACTTCAAATGTTTCCTTTGATTTGCTCAATATTTCGGTTAGACAAAATTCTCCACGGGTTCCGTCTAGCCGAAGTATTGTGCCAAATCAAAGAAAATGCTTTTAATTGTTTGATCAGCCTTCTGTTTTTCTCATTTGTTTTG